GGAAAGAAAAGAAATCTACAGTGTATCTTTACATTTGTTTGAATTGAGCTCTCGAATTTGTAGGACTTGTTCCTGTTATAACTGGATGGATGCAGAAGAAAGCTGCCCGTCTAGAGGTTTCTGAACGGCATATATTGAATTGAGGGAGGTCTAGTAAATACCTTAGCCTGGAATTATCTCCAGTCTTCTCCAGTTCCCTAGAAAAAGGAGAGAACATTTGCACTCCTGTGACCAAGTGGTGGGAAGAGGGGATAATGATCAGCAGCTTCACCCCTCTCTGGGTCTTCCTTTGCCTCTTTTATCATGACAATCTATTCAGCCTTCCAGTGTGGTATTTACAGTTGGCTCCTTGGCAGGCTGTGCCTGGCTTGTAAGCATGTTCATGTGTAGGTTTTATATCCTACATGGGCAAAATTTTACTGATGAAATTTACGGGGAAAGAAAAGGGCAAGTCATTATCATTTATGATAGCTAAAGTTGAACAATATTTTATGAAATTAATTATCCTGCAGGTGTGCTAACTGCTAGTTTGCAGCAGAGCCATGTAGTTAACTGTGGTGCTTCAAACTTCTAAAAACGATTGCAAAAGCAGTTTAGTAATGAGTAGTTGCCTTTCATGTTTCTACAGTTAACTACATAGATCATTGCTGTGTTCTCTGGAAGTATCTACTTTATATGAAGTAAATTAAAGCATAGAAGAACTTTTTAATTATAACTGTTGTAACTGTCACAAGGTAACAGGTAGATCATGATAGTATTTCCTCCAAAATATTTTAGCCTGTTACAAGTGTGCTGGTTTCAGCTGGGATAGAGTTAATTTTCTGCTTAGTAGCTGGTACAGTGCTGTGTTTTGGGTTTAATGCGAGAATAATGTTGATAACACACTGATGTTTTAGGTGTGACTGAGTAGAACTTAACCTAAATTAAGGACTTTCGGTTTTCCATAATCTGCGAGCAAGGAGGTGCACAGGAGGCTGGGTGGGAGCATGGCCAGGAAAGCTGACCCGAACTAGCCAAAGGGATATTCCATACCATAGATAGAACACCATGCCCAGTATACAAACTTGTGGGAGTTGGCCAAGAGGGGCTGTTCGCTGCTTGGGGATTGCTGCTGGGGTGTTGGTCAGAGGGTGGTGAGCAATTGTAGTGTGCATCACTTGTCTTTTTGTGGGTTTTAGTCTTTTATTATATTACTTTTCGTCATCATCATCATCATTATTATATTATTTTATTATTGTTGTTAGTATTCTATTTTACTTTATGTTAGTTATTAAATTGTTCTTATCTCCTCCCCATCCTGCTGGCACTGGGGAAAGGGGTGAGTGAGCAGCTGCGTGGTGCTTAGTTGCTGGGGTTAAACCACAACAACAGGCAAAATAAATTAATGAGTTTGCAACATAGAAATATTATTCAATTGGAAAATACTATTTATTGAACATGTAAGACATCTTTTAAGATGCTGTTTTTGCTTGTCAGTGAAGAGACATTTGTTTTAAAGGGATTCCTCAACAAGACAATGATTTAATCCAGTGTTCTAATGTACTGTTAGAGAGTAAGACATTTTCAATATATGGTGCTTTTCAATATGGAATGCATGTAAATTGATGTAGTGAAAGCTTGTGATTTTAACTTTCTAAGAGATTCTTGAAATGTCCTGGTATAAAATACCTGCTGGGCCTTTTCCACTTGCTTTCTGAGATACTAATCTGTAAGTGGGATATTTGAGTCAAATTTATTTGGTAATTTCTGTGCTTCATTTTTATTTGACTTTTCCTTTTATCATTTATGGACTTCCTGTTGCAATTTTAAAAGTTACCTGTTTAGGGATGGAGCATTCTCTTCTGTATATAAGGTTAAACTATGATTTGGAAACATTGTTTTTCACCTTTCAGAAAAATACTTAGAAAATAACTTCATAATGTGGACAGTTATGACTAGGATCTGTTTCATTCTAAAGAAATCTAGAGACATACAGTCAGCATAAAAAGGGTGTTTTGACCTTTGCTAGTCATTGCAGTTTTACTGAAATTCTTGTCCTTCAACAGTTTCAAAAGCCCTTTAAAGTTGATTTTGCAGAGCTACATACTAGGATAATGTATCATTTGAAATTTATAGGGTAGCTGCGTAGAACAGTCTCATTTTTTAGCCAGTGCTGCATCCTTGACGTGCTGCAGTTGTAGCTGAAGTGCCAGGCCCCTCATCCCTCTGGGGTGGGAATAGGAACCTGCAGACTTCCGTGTCCAAAAAGGGCTATTGATCCCACTGTGATGGCTTATAAGTAATGTAGACACATTTGAGATAGGAAGAATGGTAGTTACAGGTCTTAAAGACATTCCGGTCCATACATACGGCTGCTTTTTCCATTCTCATTTGGAATTACGAACGAGGAAGTGAGTGACAGAGAGGTCGGAGTTCTCCTGTCCTGCTGGGACTGGGCTTGTTGGGCCATGAGGATATGTGGTGTATTGGACATTTGTGTTCAACAGACGGAGTCTTGTGCAGGGGTTCTTGTGCCCAGAATGGGATATCCACATGGCTGACGGCACCTACAGTGGCACTTCCCTATAGCAGCTGTACCTTACACGCTTCAAAATGTGGGAGCGGTCCCCTGGTGTTACGGCAGTTGCCATCTATGGTATGCACTGAACGTTGAGCTGATGGAAGAGATGCACGCATCTTTCATGTTAAATGAGTTTGGAAGGATTTTAGGAACTTGTAGGATTTTGTAAATTACCACCCAGAACACTTTTTATAGAGACATGCAATCATGCGATCTTTTAAAATCTACACTTGTTTTCATTAGTAACTGATGTGTACCAGTATTAGAGGTTTAAACCCTCTCCCATCACGTATTTTTCCTTTCTCCCCAGTAGGAGAAATTCCTCTCAGGAGGACTACCTGTGCTTTTGTACAGTAACATCATCAGCAGGATGAAAGGATTATGTAATCTTCATCTTTTTCAGTCTCCTGATGCTGTGCTGCCACAAAAAATGTTAGTCTGTAGGATCATAGAGGAGTTTTTCCTGGGTAGTGTCTTTATGGCTGTCCTGAAAGGAGCACGGATGAAACAGTGGGACTACTGGGAAAAACTAGTACAAATAATGATGCCACTGTTGCCTGATCACAGTTATTTTTGCTGAGTGCTGAAAAGAAGGTGAGATCTTTAGGGTATTTTATTTAACTGGAAAAGACCTATAGATTCCAGATACCTCTGATAAGAAGGTAGCTATCAAGTATTGTTTACAGAAAACTTTTAATTGAGAAAAAGAAGAATCTTTATCCAACTTAGGAAAATAGTTAAACACATGCTTATCTTCAATATTATTAAGTACAGTTTTGGGCTATGACCAAAATAGATGTCGCAAATCAGTATACAGTCTGCTTGAATGGAGAACAGCCTATAAGGATATATATATAAAAAATAAATCTGGTAATTGTTTGCAGGATATATTAAACTTATTTTCTACTGAGTTGCATATTTCCCTGTTTGAAGAGTCTTTATTTTTTCAGTTAGAGTTTTGCATTTACATATTATGTTGCCAAGACAGTGAGATAGGAGAAATTGACTGAATTTCTATGAATTCTTAATGTTCCAGCTATGGTTAAAAAAATTATATTGAAGCTTTGACTTGACATCTATCTCCTTGCAATGTCATTGTATAAGGACAGCTGTACATGGTATACAGTTTTTGTAGAAGATCTCAAATGAAACCAGAGATTAGAAAAAATAAAATTAATTTGAATTCATTTACCCTTTCAGCTGTACAAAGTGATTTATTAACATGTGGCTTGTTTTCTCCAGATTGCTACAATTTCTCCAGGGATGGCATCATGTGAAAACACTCTAAATACATTGAGATACGCAAATAGGTATGGAAAATGTTAATGCTTATAGCTGTACTGACTGTTGATGACTACATTTGGAATAGTGTTGTTCCATGATCTATAATTATTTTAGCTACTTGAATAATTGTATCATATTTGCATTTCTCAATAAGATTAAAACCAAATTACTGATCCAGGCTCACATTTAATTTAAATTGTCACTTTTTACACCTGTTACAATAGAATCAATAGAAATGGCATTTAAGCTATTACCCAGAGATGGGTAATGTGGATTGCAAGGAAGGTGGGAGATGCCACTATTATTTTTGCCTCTGCTCTGGAGGCACCATCTCTTGCATTAGGGGTAGCTGGTATTCATGATGATTCCCTGGGGTGTTAGCTGAAATACCTTTCTGCAATGTGATTTTTGTTTTGTTTTTCATCCCCTTGGTGGAATTGCATGCAGTTGCGAGTCTGTTTCATACATATATATGAAATGTTTTACTTCCAAACTTTGGGCAAATATCTGAGACCCCTAAGTAAAGAGTCAGTTACTCCAACAGTGACTTTATAATCAGTGTAGAGAAATGAGAATCTCCAGAGACTGCTGCAGTACCTCTGAGACCTGTACTGCTCTCTGAAAGTGTTTGTCTCTGTTTCATGAGTGCCCAAGGAGCCTTCCCCTGCTGCGGTTCTCCTTCCTTTAATGTCTGTGGAGGTGGGGTGATCATGTCCTGCGTCCCTGCAGTCAGACCTGCGGCCCAGCCACCCCCCCCACCATGGTTCGCTGCAAAGAACAAAAGAGGCAAACGCACCTTTGGGCATCAGAAACCCTGGTTTTGCCAGAAGAGGCTACCATCTAGTGGCCTGCTTGCCCCAGTGAAAGACAGGGCAGAACTATGTCTGCTCCTGCTTGGCTAGGAAAGCTTACCGTCCGCTCCTCTCGATACCCAAGTGTGTCAGTGTCTGGATCAAGGGAGCTAGTAGCAAATGGGCCTGGCTTGGACCACTCTCTATGATTTGAGAAGGAGGCATCTTTTCTCCTGCTTACAGTAACATAAAGAAAGACCTTGCACATTCATCAAGACTTGGATCTTTTACCTGTTATAGAATGTGTGCTATTGAAGTGACTCCAGAAAAAGACACTGCAAAACTAATTAAACACCTGTTTCTAGTATACTAAATAGTTGTGCTGAAACTGTTTCTTCCCCATGGTGTTAAATTTGTATGTTGTTAGGGAGTAAATGCCTGTCACTGTGACGTTGCTTCATGTGTTTTGTGTAGTAGTTTAGTTTTTCCTAGCAGTATCTCATTTTCATCGTACAGTTAGATTTTAGGTGCTGGACACCAATGTGTGTGCAGTATAAGACAGGGGCAGAATAGAATTTAAAGTTTTATAGCTGTAGTGGTTTGATATTTTGAAAGGAGCCATTTAGTGGAATATTGAATGTAGAGCAAATTTTATTAATTGCACAAACTGAAATCTGGAATTACTCTTCTGAAAATACTGTTATTATAGTCCCCTGAAAATTAGCAGCATGGGTTTTGTTCAGTTTTGTTAGTGATCTGTAACTCTGTTTCCAGAAAGTTTAAATATGTTGGCACACTTGTCTTTTAATATAAAAATAACTTTATAGTTAAACTATTAAAGAAGTATGCTGAAGAAAGAGTTGTGATTTTAACTGTGTTTATGAGAACATTTTCTTTTAATTTGCTGCTGTATTTTGCTGCTGCAGAGTAAAGGAATTTGGAATTAGTCCTTCGGACATTCCCTTCTCACAGGGTAGTGGCAGTCGCTCTGATCTCTCTCCTTCCTATGAGTATGACGACTTTTCTCCTTCAGTCACCAGGTCTACTTCATTCTATACATGGAATCTTTATTTTTAAGTTTTCTTTTTGGCTATGTAATTTTACAGTCCAACCTTTCATTAGCCCCCTTGCCTTGAGTCACACATACTTTGTTTTTATTTTGTTTGGCAGGTGATGGTTCTGCATGATCTGCAATCATCTTCCCAGTATTTTGTTCACCCTCCTTAAACATCCACACTGTATCCAGGCTTGCTAATTTCCTTCATACATTTTAAAAGAAATGGTGATGTCACCTTTGTACATTTAGTGGACCAAATCTGACAAGTCTGTGTGTAGGGTAATTTGAATATCTCTAATTAAAAAAGAAAACAATTTTCATACATACATATTTTTAAAACTTTTCATCACTCTGAAGATGAATGAAAACCAGTTTCCATTGTACTAAATAAATGCTACTTGAAAAAACGTTTTTCCCTTTAAAGAAATGAAGACTATGTTCTAAAACTTGCTATACTTGCAGACTTCAATGTGTCTGTTTGATAAACTTGCTCTTAAATGGCCTTTTTCTTTGACAGAATCGTTATCAATCTTTTAAACTATTTCCATGCTGCAAGAGTCGAACATTTTAATAAGATATTTTCACCTTTTAAATTACTTTAATTAAAGGATCTATTAATTCTCTGAGATACTTGGTGGCAAATTACTATTTTCTGTAGAATTCTTGGTGGATTTGCTTATAACAGCTAGTGGGGTACTGATTGACTAACTTTTTTAAAGCACAATTGTGTGCACAGAACAAGAAAGATGGTCAGGTTTAGCATGCTGAATGAACTTTTATTTCAAATATTACTCGTTAAGGAGTTAATATTGAGGGTTTGGAGATTTTTGCCCTCTTAACTGTTAATGAGCAGTAGGATTTCAATTACAAAATGCCTCTTGCTAGAAGATGGACTGTAATCCAGCTGAAAGTAATTGAAATTCAATGGTCCATGCTTTTTATGAGTTGGACTAACACCTTTTTGTCACTGAAAGTACATTAAATTTGTGAAGCTGACATCATCATCCTTATTAAATGAATTAATTGTGCATAAACCCATAGAGCTTTATTTTTGGTTGTGACTCTTTTGCACAGGAAGTTACTAATTTACAAATGAAACCTTTTCTCCTTGTAGGGTGAAGGAGCTGACAGTCGATCCTGGTGCCGCAGGAGATATCCGTCCCATTATACACCATGCTCCCAATCAGATGGACGACTTGGAGACACAGTGGGGTGTGGGGAGCTCTCCTCAGAGAGATGATCTCAAACTGCTTTGTGAACAAAACGTGAGTGGTTTACAGCATTACGTGGAAAGAGTTGATGATAAGTAGAGTGGCAGAAATCCAGAGTAATGTGTATTTATCGCCTGTTAGCAAGATCATTAATACAGCACGCCTCTTCACCTTTTCACTTGATGATATTTTGTTCATTCCTGTACAAAAAAAAATGAAAACCAAAAATGTTTCTTGAAGGGCCGGAGGAGAACATTTTACTTCTCTTTATCTTCCGTGCTGATTAGGGCTTTTAATGTCTAGGCAGGGTCTGCAGTAGGCTCTGGCATTCTTTCGTGTACATTCTTTCCAGTATAGCTTTGCATTTTTTTAGGCAGTTAGAAGTATCCTGGGACACTTATCTGTTCTATTGAACACTCTTGTGTTTTTAAGCACTATTTTCGCTGCGTGCAACACCCATTTCACTTGAGTTTGCCTTTCTCTGTGTTTAGAAATCTGGCTACCCATCGTTCCTCTTCCCAACATCCTGATTTTCACAGGGTGAAACTGGAGTGCACTGTTTAGGAGAGAGCTACATCATGTTCTCAGCATATCTCCCTGGGCTGCAGGAGTGGTGAGCTGAGATGCATCTTCTAAAGGGCATTTTCCCCTCATTGCTGATTATCAGCTCTAGTCCTCATTCCTTAAACGGTCAACAGGAATTAAAACTCGATTTGTGAAAATGCTGATGAGAGATAGAAAAGAAAAATTCTTTCTATCCTAAGCTGTTTTTCTAAAACTCTTGCCTTTTCAGACACCTCTTCACCGTGTCTGCTGTATTTCTCATATTAGTAACTGGTTCTTCTTCCAGGACTCTATTTCCTAAGAACATGCTAGTGATTCCTAGAGCTTCCTACTGGACAGTCCTTCCAGCTAGACATTTTTTCATATCATACTTTCTCATTGTTCATGTGGAATGAAATTAAGCCTTACAGTATGTTTTAAAAAAAATTTCAAAGCCATCATATAAGGAACTGTACTGCCTTGCTAAAACATTAATTACAGCCTACCTAGCGCTTTCCCCTTTGGTTGTTAACTCTTCATTTCTAAAGAAGCCCTGTTTGCCCCAATTTGTAAATCCATGTTGTGCATTCTTCTAATGTATTGATAACTATGTGCATTTTAGATTTCTCACTTTACATTTATTCTACTCTTTTTCCAAAGGATTAATTTAATTTTGATTTCCTGAAATGCATTGAATGTAATTGTTCTTCTCTCCTTTTGAAAATTGTTGTCTGTTCTCCTGGTTTCATCTGGGATAGAGTTAATTTTCTGCTTAGTAGCTGGTATGGTGCTGTGTTTTGTGTTTAGGGTGAGGATAATAATGGTAACACACTAATGTTTTAGTAGTTGCTACGTAGTAGTGCTTCACCTAAGTCAAGGATTTTTCCCATGCTCTACGAGCATGGAGGTGCACAAGAAGCTGGGAGGGAGCATGGCCAGGACAGCTGACCCAAACTAGCCAAAGGGATATTCCATACCATAGAATGTCATGCCCAGTATATAAACTGGGGGAGTTGGTTCGGAGGGGCCGATCACTGCTTGGGGATGGGCTGGGCATCGGTCAGTGGATGGGGAGCAGTTGTGTTGTACATCCCTTGTTTTTCTTGGGTTTTATTCCTTTGCTATATATCCTTTTCATCATGATTATTATTATTGTTATTGTTGTTATTATTATTGCTAGTATTACATTTTATTTTACTTCAGTTATTAAGCTGTTCTTAACCCATGATTTTTTTACCTTTTTTTTTTTTGATTCTCTTCCCCATCCCACTGGGAGGGGGGAAGAGTGAGCAAGCAGCTGCATGGTGCTCAGTTGCTGGCTGGGGTTAGACCATGCCATCTGCCTCTTGTGATATGTACAACAAAAAGCCCTGACAGAAAACCAGAGTTTTCTGTAGAGGCATTAAAACCTAACAGAAATTAACATTCTTCTCGTGTGACTTCCTCTTCCCAGTGTTTTAACTTATTTTTTTAATGTGGAATATTCTGTTTTCCAGTATTAACTGGGATTAGTGGCTGGAAATTTTTTGTGAATATGAATTAAATTTAACTTTGTGAACATTTTGAATTGATTGCCTTCTCCACTCGTTTCTGGAGATTTTCTTGTATTAAATTCTATTTTTGACAGGTTCTGCCTTCTGCCTATTTCTTTTCGTGTTCTGTGATGAGGTGGATCACATTCAATATACCTTGTGTAGCCACAGTTCTTTCCAGACTAACAAGCTTAACTTTTGTTTTTAGGAAGAGGAAGTTTCTCCACAGTTGTTTACTTTCCATGAAGCTGTGTCACAAATGGTAGAAATGGAAGAGCAAGTAGTAGAAGACCACAGGGCTGTCTTTCAGGTAAAAGATGGAGCTCTATTTTGTTTTATCCTAATCTGGGAATTCAGCTGTTCCCAATGAAAGTGCATACCCTTGAAGATGTATGATATCATGTGGTCATTCTGCTACTGTCAGATATTTCTAAATTGTTTTATTATGCTAAGCCCATTGTAGCAAACAAATAGGGACAGATCCCATAACCACTACACTTTGTCCCGGTGAGGAAAAAGAAGCATATTTCTATGTCATCCCAGAAATTTAGGAAATTTTTCCTTTTCTTCTCAACAGACATTCCTACACAGACTGTGTTCATCGTAAGAAAAGTTGCTGTTTTCTTTTTAGTATTTTTACTATTCACTCCATCTTCTGTTGTAGTCCTTCTCCAGCATTAGTGACTGTGGTGTTTTGTTTTTTTTTTTGTAGTTGCAGGGAGTTTATTCAGATTAGTCTTGAAATTTTCAGGGTCACTGCCAATATTCCTATGCCAGATCTGGCAATGAACAGCAATGTCTCTATCAGCGCCATTTCAGTTTGGTCATTTCCCTCTAAGATACTGCAATACTGCCTCTAAGTATTTCATCTGAGTATGCTTTTGTGACATCTCCCTCTGAGATACTGAGATCCAGAAAAGACACATCTATTTCTAACTGCCTGTTTTCTTCCTTTTTACAGATACATAAAGTTTTTCATTTGCTGTTAGTTAGGGTCTTTGGAAGGAATACTGCCCAGGCAGTGTAACGCTGTTCAGCGCCATGGAGCCTTTTACATTCACAAAGTAAATTGTAGTAATAAGTGTGAGTTACTAGTATCGAGAAGGAAATGTCAGTTGCTTCTGCTCATAACTGTAGAGTCTTTAGGCAGGCTGTCCGTTTGGCACATCTGCTGCAAGAGAACAGCAGGCCATTAAACCTATAGGGAATACACACATCTCTTCAATTTAGGTATCTAACTTAGTGGAACATTAATGTGTGTGCATAATACAGTAGGATGCTAAATAACACATTTTACAACAGATGTAGAGATTTAGTTATTGGGAAACATTAGCCCTGAAGTAAAAAAAATGCAGAAGTGAGAAAGTCATATGTCATATGCCATATCTGTGTCCTCATGCTTGTGACTTCTGGAGAGACAAGCGGCACTAGTTTAAGATGTTGCTGCCTCTGTGTGTCCATCTGGCCTTCTGCTGGAGATTACTGCTCCTCCCAGCAGTCACTGGAAGGAAATGTGTCCGAGCCTCCGCTCCCTTCATTTGCAGCATGGCTCCTTAGTTTGTGCCAGGCAGAAGTTGTCTTCTTCCAGCTTCCTCCTGGAAGCTGCTGATAGAAGAAGACATCCTTTCCTACCAAAAATGTCTAAAAGAGATCAACGGGATGAATAGTGTGCTTGAGGTGTTGCTCTTCCCTTGTGTCTTGGATGTATGAGTTTACATTAGATGAGATGAATCCTCTCCCAGTGTGAACTTTCATTTGTCCTGAAAGCCAAAAGTCATACATGGGGTTTGGACTATGCTTTCAATATCACTTGGGCTACTAAGCACAGAGGGGAAGACTTAATTTTAGTATTTCAGGCCCGGCATGCCTAAAACTGTCAGCTGCTTTCTTTTTTTAAATTAAAGCATTTCCAATGAGATCAGTTCTCCTGATCACAGCTTTGCATGGTTCTGTAAGCTTTAAGCTCCTGGTTGCATTCTTCTTTGCTGCAAGACTTTATTTTTTTCCCTCTTTTTTTTTGTTAGTATTCAGAGTGCAAAGATGCCTAAGAGCTGCTTTAACCAACCTTAACTATACCTATCTGGGGACTTAGCTCATGCAATATTGAGCTTAAAATAGCTCTTCTGTTATACAGCTTCTCTCAAAACTGGTTTTGATTATGGGCAGAATTATCTTGGCTCCTTGACTGTAGTAATGATACAATGATTATAGTCAGTGGCAACCAGCCCATACTTAAAACTGAAGCTTGACTTCAAAGTTTGATACCTGCCTAAGGGTACGTTCTCTGTGTTTCTGAGTTTCTTAGTTTTCCAACTCCTAATGTTCTGAATTTGAAGAGAAGGGGGGTAGCTGGGGGTTTACCTGTTGCTGGTATAACCACTGGAATTAAGAAACAATGTAAAAAACATATGGTTTTGCTGAATGAGGAATAAGGATTGAAATCTGTTCTATTGAGGTGACTAGACAGTGAAAGTGTGGTCATCTTGAGAAGAGGTCTAATTCATCTCTTTGTCTTGAAACTTGTCTTGAAACTTTGCTAATGTATTTGGTTGTTTTTTTAACTTTTATCTAGGAATCTATTAGATGGCTGGAAGATGAAAAAGCTCTTCTTGAGATGACAGAAGAAGTAGACTATGATGTGGATTCCTACGCTACCCAACTTGAAGCAATTCTAGAGCAAAAAATTGATATTCTGACTGAACTTAGAGGTAGATTGCTTTTAATCACTTTTGTGTGCATTATTAGCAGTGTGTTTTCATATGCCATGGAGACTTGCAGTAATAATGAGGAGAGAAAAAAAAAGAGTGTGGTTATGTCTTAGGGTCTTTTTTCCCCTTATAATGCACTGCAATGTCCTGTGGCAGGAACGTTTATTCTGCTGCTGAAGAACAAGTTCACATCTGTGCTCAGTTCATCCCAGTTTAAAAGAAAAATCTGTGCTTTACGTCAAGGAAGTATAAACTCGATTCTGCAGCTTTCCTTTTCTTTTCCTTTGTTCCAAAACAATAAAGGAAGGAAAAAGAAAATCCAAATGAACTGTATGAAAAAAGAAGGTCATGCAATGAGGAAAAAGGAGTAGGAATTCTCAGTTCCTGCTCTGTTGCATTGTGTAGAGTAGGAGGGAGGCTGTTGGTTTTAAGACTGTGGTTATGAGTGGCTTCAAACTCTGAGTAGCTTGGTTGTTAGCTTACTTTTTTCTACAGCAGCCTTTCTATCTGAATTTTGTCAGCCTCTCTTTGTTGAAAAACAAACTGCAACTAATTCTTAGTGCCTAAAATTGACTCATCTACTTGTCCTCTAAAATCAGCTTGTCAGCTTGTTACCTCATGGAGATGAATTTTTCATTTTAGTTTCTGTAACTGTTTGGATTCCAGGAGACATGCTATACTGGTAAAAGTTGAAGGGTGGGTTGGGGGCTGAGGGGTGGGGTTGGATTTTTACTGATCTGTGTTAGAAAACTCCTTATGAGATAAAATCTTACTTTTTACTTAGTCTAAGTATCTGCTGTAAGTTAGAAGAACACATCAAGCAAATGAAATGTGGCCTGCTTGCCTTGTAAGCATGCATTGGCACCAGTATACTTTAGCAAAGAATTGGAGGTACCTTCTTTTGCTTTTTTGTGGATGAGGGCTTCCTCGTCAGAAGATGACAATTTGAGACACTCATTCTCTCTTTTTTGTTAAAGATAAAGTGAAATCTTTCCGGGCAGCTCTACAAGAGGAGGAACAGGCCAGTAAACAGATCAACCCGAAAAGACCACGTGCCCTTTGAAACGGGCCTTTGCTGCTAAAGGAACCCACGAACCTGTACTGCTGTAGCACACATTTGTTACAAAACCCAGTGGCCGTAAGAACTCAACTACTTGAAAGTGTAAAAACATTAGAAATGTCTGTGGAAATGTCCTGTTTCTTATTCACCTGAATGACATTTTCAGTTTTGTGTGAAATGCTCCTATGATGTCTACAAAATGCTTCTAGACCAGACAGCACAACCATGCAGGGTTCAGATCTGTGAAGCACTTTGTTTACAATGTTTCATTTATTCAAATTACAGAATCACAGAATCATCAGGGTTGGAGGGGACCTCTGGAGATCATCTAGTCCAACGCCCCTGCCAAAGCAGGTTCACCTAGAGCAGGTTGCACAGAAACGTGTCCAGACTCTCTTCAGTAGTTCCTTGTCTTTCTTGAACTGGGGAGCCCAGAACTGGATGCAGTACTCCAGACGTGGCCTCACCAGGGCAGAGTAGAGGGGGAGGAGAACCTCCCTCGACCAGCTGGTCACACTCTTCCTAATGCACGCCAAGGTACCATTGACCTTCTTGGCCACAAGGGCACATTGCTGGCTCATGGTCAACTTATCCACCAGTACTCCCAGGTCCTTCTCCGCCGGGCTGCTCTCCAGCAGCTCAACCCCCAGCCTGCACTGGTGCATGGGGTTATTCCTCCCTTCGTGCAGGACTCTACACTTGCCCTTGTGGAACTTCATTAGGTTCCTCTCTGCCCAACTCTCCAGGCCTGTCCAGGTCTCCCCGAATGGCAGCGCAGCCTTCTGGTGTATCAGCCACTCCTCCCAGTTTTGTATCACCAGCGAACTTGCTGAGGGTACACTCCGTCCCTTCATCCAGGTCATTGATGAATAGGTTAAACAGGACTGGACCCAGAAATGACCCCTGGGGAACACCACTAGCTACAGGCCGCTAGATTCTGCACCACTGGACATGACCCTGTGGGCTCTGCCATTCAGCCAGTTCTCAATCCACCTTACTGTCCACTCATCCAGCCCACGCTTCGTGACCTTACCAATGAGGATGTTATGGGAGACAGAGTCAAAAGACTTGCTGAAGTCAAGGTAGACAACATCCACTGCTCTCCCCTCACCTACCCAGCCAGTCATGCCATCATAGAAGGCTATTAGGTTGGTCAAGCATGACTTCCCCTTGGTGAACCCATGTTGACTACTCCCGATAACCTTTTTTCCCTCCAGTTGCTTAGACATGACATCCAGAATGGGCTGTTCCCTCACTTTTCCAGGGATGGAGGTGAGGCTGACTGGCCTGTAGTTCCCTGGGTCCTCCTTCTTGCCCTTTTTGAAGACTGGAGTGACATTGGCTTTCCTCCAGTCCTCAGACACCTCTCCTGTTCTCCATAACCTTTCAAAGATGATGGATTGTGACTTTTATGTTTGGAAATACTGGCCATGTTTCTAAGAATGAAGTAAAACTGTGGCCATTAAAAAGTCACAGTATTTCCTTTTGAGTATGTTCAGTTTTGTTACCAAGACCAGCTGTGCAGTTTTAAATTGTGTTTGTGTGCATGCACACCTCACTAGTGGTTGTACATAACTTTTCTTCTACAGACAGCTGTGCTTACCTCTTCCCGTTCTGTGCCTTGGTGAAGGCTACTTAACCCTAAACATCCTCTTTCTGAAGCACAGCCTTAATAAACAACATTCCTTATTTGTCGATATAAATTACTTTTAGTGTGTGTACATTTTAATGTGTTTTGAGACTTTTTATTTGGTGGCTAGTTTCATTTCACAGGATGTGCCATATCATTTGAACAGGAACTGCAAGAGCTGTTAGAATGGACAGACAGCTGGACATTCCATCCTCCTTGTAAACATCTGGAATCTAGATTTATTTGAATACCATAACGAATGGTTATATAATTCTAACATTTTCTCTGTAATAAAACAAAACAAAAAAAAAAACAGAACAGAAAAAATAAAAATATAAATTAGTTGATGTATAATAAAGGGTAATGTTTAAGTACTGAGGAGAGTTGTATCTTAGGATAATGCAGATAGACAGTATGTGGTATGGTGTGGTAATGCTGTCAGAGTAAAGGCACGATCTGACCTCTGCGTATGGATAGGATAACTGTCAAAAGTTCAGGGATCCAGCTACATACATACATATTGGCCTTTCACATACTGTTAAAATTTGGCTTTTGATGCATGACAAACTTACATGTACATTAACTGTAGTTTGCAGGTAGTTTGAGTAGCTCTGTTGCTTTAAAAAAGTAGCCCATACCTCTTTTTCCCTTTGTACAGTGCCAGCAGCTGAAAAGTGGGGTAAAATTGCATCATGTGAGGATTTTGCACAATACCTCTACCTAGTGCTAATAGAAAGCCTACAAATACCTGAATTCTCACAAACGGTGCCATATGTACCAGCACTTTTCAGGTGGTGGCACGCAAGTTCTTTTTGCAAGTCAGTATCCCAAAAAAGATTGACCTTTCATGTAAGAACTTCTTGTCAAATGAAGAATTGTAGACCTCTCTAGGAGTTCTCCCCATTTCCAGGAGTTCGTATCAGCAGACTTTCCCTTGGAACTGTTTAATAATCACTTTTGGAGTACAAGCCTGTTTGTTTGTGCCAGGCCTGAAGGGAAATAAAGGGAAGGCAATGAAAAGAGAGTTAAATGAGCCAGGAATTCTTGTCGTGTTCAATGTTTGCATCTCCCATAGGAAGGTAGGCTATGGGAAGCTCTTGTCACCTCATGGTGAAAAATAAAAAAAAAACAACAACCTCCTGTGTGTAAACCTGAAAACTGAAACAACAATGTAGATTTTACATAATGTGTTTAATAAATTAAGCTATTAAATGAATTACAGAGGAGAATTTACTTCTATGAAAGTTCTGTTGTGCTTTGGGAAGGGTTTCACTTTGTAGGCACATAGAAGTTACACTTCTGAAAAGGCCTCCGATTTCAGAATATTTACTTCTGGAGCTAATTATTCTGACAAATTTGTAATCTGGGAAGAAGTTGCCCAGAGCATGGTCCTGAGCTCAGTTTTGCAGCAGGCCTTAAGAGAAACATCGCACCTCTTTCTGAGCATTTAAGAACATTGTCCATCACAGTTCAAAGAAAAAACCCATGAAATAGAAGGCCTCAGCTTTTGTTAGCAGGTAATAGTATGGGTTCTCATATAATACCAGAGGGTTTCTTTGAAGCTGCTCTAGAGAAATCTTACTTTCTAAAAAGCCTCTGAAGATTGAGACCTCCTCTATGAGAAAGAGCGGATTCCCTACTGTTCCTCCATGCAAGCCTAGAGCCATCACCAGGCTGTGGTTTACAGCAAGTACCAGAGAGGACAGGAAGGACAGAGACCATTAGATTTTTATTAAGCCTTGTAAATGACGTGTGTCCTGTCAGGTAGCAAATGCAAGCTGAAATGGTGTGTGCTGCGGGTGGACTGTTAACGAGACGGTCTTTATGACAGAGCCTGCTGTAAAGGTGAGATTTACAGTAATAACCGATGCAGTGAGAATCAAGATACACTGATATGTCTGGTTAAAGCACTTGAATTCCTGTGGCCCATTGCGGTGAGGGACTGGAATTACCTAAACAGGTCTCAGACAAGCTTATCTTGATTCCTGTCTTGTAAAAGGAAAGCACTTGGGAACTGTGACAGCAATCTCCAGCACTTGCTCCTTCTGTATTAGTCTAAGCATATTGCTGTGGCTACTTCCCTCACTCCTAAATTGGTTCTATAGCCAGTGAGGCAGGACTAGAATCGTTAAATTATAGAAATAAGCAGTTCATGCTTCCAAGACAACCTCCTCAGGATGCCTGCAAATTCAAGTGCATATTTCTGTACATGCTTCTGAGTCAATGACTTTTAAAAGAATTGACACTGGATGTGTACAAAATGAAGTTCTAAGAGGAAGTTTTGCCAATTTGCCTCTTCTCCACTGTGTGGTCTTATGGAAAGATATGCTAAACAGGAAAAAACGACTTACAGTAGGCAAGACACAGAGTCATGCCTTCACCCCTGCATGATGCTACAGAGCTAACAGTTACGGTTTTCCTGAATCTGCTACGCAGAATTAATCCAAACTTCCTTAGGAAAACTCTGCCTTGTCCTCAATAACAAATCTATCTCACCCAAAGTGTGTTAAAGACGCATCGGTAAGTCTTCCTGTCAGGACACTGGCATGCATTGCTCTAAGACTCACTGAAAGCTTTGATCTCTGCTAAAACACCTCCTTGCCTTGAAGAGTGAAGTAGTTTTCTTAGAAAAATAACTGCTTGAATTTACAGTTGACAAAAAAAAACCCAAACCCTTCTGTTTATGCTTACGAGCACTGGCCCTTTGGTACTTTTATGCTCCTTCCTACAGTGATTTGATGGCAATAAGTGGTAGTTTCAGGTACCTCGATGGTGTTTTTGTAAATGATAGCAAGCCCACAAGATAAATGCTCTTGTTTCTGAGAAACAGTTACTGAGATTTCTCCAAGAGAAGCAGATGACTAACAGACTTGGAATGTGGGTAGCTGCCAGAGGACAAATGGAAAAGACAGGCATTTCAAATCCAAAGAAACGGTTTAAATGTGCTTTAAAACAAACAAACCAATCAACAAAAAATCACAAACAAATGGAATGACTACAACGGTGTTTTTGTTGCCCAGACCAGACTTCCAGGTTGAACTGTTGTATTGTGCAAGAAAACACTGAGTTGAAGGTCATGATCAGAGAACGTAGATTTCAATTATGGCAGCATCAATCCATGTTATTGGGTATATTTAAAAATACACTGTCTTGTGAAAATCCAGCACCTCACATCTGTCGTGAAAGAATTTATCACTTTTCAAATACAGAGCAGCAGCTTCTTGCCTAACATCTGTGACAAAACTGCAGGTAAGGTTTTAATAAGAACCATAGTGTGTATGCCACATTCTGTTCACTGCTTTTGTGAGAAGAGCATGTCCCATTGCAGTCACTCCTGCTTAGGTAAGACTTTGGTGACAAAATACACGTCGTCTTTCCTTCTTCTAGTAGAATCTATGAGAAATGGATGCCTTCTGAATTGAAGCCATGCAGCAGTCTGAAAGAGTGAAATATTTGTTACAATTTCTACTAATTTATACTTCAGCTTAAGGCATTTCCAAGGTGTGCTGGACAAAAATAGCATGAAAGTGGCCATCACTGTTCAACTACCATCAAGAATCGTTACAAATCTTAAACTAGAAGTTAGTAGCAAATTTGCCATTTTAGAGATGCAGGTAGATTCTCAGTGCAGTTAGTTATATCAGTTAGT